GTTAGAGTAACTCAATGGTAAACAACCAGCTAAAAGGCAGACAACTGAATTGACTACTACAGAGGAAATCAAATAATAGTTAATAAAACTGGGTCAACTCCCGTATATAAATATCTGGTAATGAATTGGTGTCCGCATGCATTAAGAGCCAAATTTAACTTAAGATAAACACATTAGATCATCACAATTTCTAAGTTAAAAATCTAGAGATCTTTTTAAAATCCCATATATATTAAAGAGCAATGAGATCTCGCGATGTAGACCGTACAAAACATTACCAAGGCAAATGGGAGCACCAAAAACCGATTCTCAGCCCCCACAAACATGGTCATTATTCATCAAAATGATGATAGCTCAAACGGCAGATGTCATATAAAAATGTTTTTAACATGTTACCAGTTACATGTTATGAGCCTATGTACATGTTTAAATGTTACAAATCTGACAAAATAGAGTCAATCTAAATACTTCCTAATCTGTAGAAAAATCCTATATATTTTGTGATTACACAGTACAAGGCACAGGACACTTAAAACAGTACCAGATCTCAACATAACATTAATAATATAAAAGACATTAAGATGATGCAGATGCCATCAAATTGCAGAAAAAATAATCACCCAATACATGGTTAGAGATTAAAGCTGCAAGCAAGTTCGTCCTAGATCCAAATTGATTAAATTCAATCAGTTTGTTTTAGATTAAGCAACTAAGCCCTTAAAGTAACAACATCCAGATATCTAACACTGAACTGCTTAAAAAAAAAAAAAAAAAAAAAAAAAAAAAAAAACACTCATGTACTTCAAAACGCAGAACGAAGAGAAGAAAAGAATTGAGAGTACACTAACCAAAACAGAATCAAGTGCAGGTAGAAATCAACTTGATGATCACAAGTAAAATTGCCTTCTCTGAAAGTGCTCCCATAACATATTCCTGGCAGAGTTTAAGTTACCTTCCAAAACCAAGTATTATATGAGAATCATGTTCAAAAAAGAAAAGCAGTTACATAAATAATATCTTGTGGCCGTATACACCCCCACCTTTCCATCCCAACAGAGCATCCTGATAGAGAGCACGAGCCAGTTGAATTCTCTGCTTCTGACCACCACTCAAATTAACTCCTCTTTCTCCTATTTCAGTGTGATCACCATAAGGAAGCAACTCAAGATCTTTGACCAAGGAACACCTTTCAAGTGTTTCTTGGTATCGATGGCCATCCATAGAAGACCCAAATAAAATGTTCTCTCTTCTGCTACCAGTTTGGATCCAACCATGAATTTGGTTTACTGAAATGCAAAAGTCAGAATTGCTTGGCTTTCCAGAAGTACCTGAACACCAGATGCCCCACAGAACATTAACCATAGATCCCCATCATTTTTTATCTTTAATCCTTGCTCTCCAAGCCCTGATTTGCATACCAACACGGAAACATAAATAATAAAAATTTTTTATCACTAAATGTTCAGATCATCCAATTAAAAGAATTATCATCAATTTCTGGCCTTTAATTGAAAGAAACAATAACGTAGAAAAAGTGCAAATCCCCCACAAGAGTAAAAATGAAAAAGATCATGAATGCAAGTGGGAAAGAGATACAAATTATGAACAAACCAAACTAATGCAGTAAGCTCCCCTGGAGCTTAGTAGTTTGCATTGTTCTGAAACAAAATTGAAGTTAGTCCATGTCACAAAAAATAAGGAGAAGTCCATGGTACCCTCAAATAGCCTCATTAGGACCCTTTTCTCCTTCTCTCTTCTCTTTCTCTAACTCAAAGTACTCTACAAGAAGCTGAGGTTCAAATGTTCCTGTAAAATTTCACACAAATTCAAACCTTGAAAAACCAGCCTCCATCAACAAAATTCCGAAACAGCAACAGAGAAAGAGAGTGTTTGCTTGTATCAACAACGTTTCACTCTCATTCTCACATTTCAATCGCAGGAAGAGAATTCTAATATGCGATTCTTTAGTGCATTAAAATAATACCATAGATCAATAGACACTCCCTTATTTAAAAAAAAAAAAAAAAAAACAATTAATAATCAAAGCATTTATTAATTAAGCACACTGCAGCAAGACAACATTTTTATTAAAGAAACGTTAAAAGAAAGAAAAAACCAAGAATAATTTACTAGCGTATTTGCTCTTGAAGCAGATAGATTGATTAACCATTCAACCTTTTGCCCTAATCGCAACGAGAAGAAGATTAGAAGAACAGAAAATTAGACGACCCCAACGAGAAGAAGATTTATAAGAAAAGAGTAATTAGTAGATTGATTGAGAAAATTTGAGAAGAAGTGATTGTCGCAAGGAGAAACTTCTGCGATTCAGTGGAAGGGCGACAACGAGAGATTTTGGGGCAGAATTTGGCGGAAGACTGGGCTTTTGGGCGCTGGAATTTTTGGCGGCAGAAATGGGTTACTCTAATAAAAAATGCTACGGTCACCGAAATTTGCAATTATCTATATGGCATCTGACTTGGACCTGACAATGTAGGATACATATAATTTAATAAATGAATTATTATCCAATAATTATGAATATCAACCATATCTTATAGAGGGTCATTCATTACATAAGACAGAGTCTATCAATGGACTTCTGTTTATATAATTTATACACAATATTTTTTTTAATTTACAGTTTCTTTTTCATTTTAAAACCTTAACCATCTAAAACCTTCTACAAATAAATGTCAAATTTTTAGATGAAACAAAGGAAAAAAAAAAAACTTTGATTTTTAATGTACAAAGTATGATGCCAATTCATCTAATGAGGATTTTGTCCATTATAATAAGATGGACTGGCATCCATACTCAAATAACTTTTTTTTAAAATTTATAAAAAATATGCAAAGTAAGAGAGAAATGAAGAACTAGATAAAAAGTGTTCACAATTTAGTGTCAGAGTCTAGGACAACAATGATGAAGACAAAGAACGGCAGCAAATGGGACAAAGAAGGCAAGAACGACGGTAGATGAGAAGAAGAAGATGAAGAACGGGCGGGAGAAACTTTTGTTTTTTAAAACCTGTTTTGGGAGCCCTAATTTTTAAACATCTAATGAAATTTTAAAGAAATTTTTTATAAACTAGAATTTGGGTATGGATAACCATCTTATTTTGTTTTAAACTTTTCTGGATGGGCGTCCATCTTATATGGACACCCGTCCTAGTAAATGGACACATGCCCTATTAATGGACGGGAGTCTATTGATATTGTTATGGCGTCCATATGTTCGTGTAAGATGGACGATCGTCCATTCACGGAATCAGTATTTTCTGTCCAACGTAGCTGCGTCTAGTGGATGCCACATCGTTCAGTAAAAAATTTGGTACACAAATTTGTTGTCCGTAGCATTACATATTATAATTGTTTATAACCCTAGCTTTGACTTAATGAAAAATGGTGAAGAATTTGCCTTAGTGAATTTTTGAGGTGGGAAACTTAGCATTAATGCAATTTTACTTTTGTTTTTTTAACTTAATCTTTGACAGTTAAAAACTGTTAAGGATTGAGACATAATAGTCAGAAAAAGAATTGTATAATTTGATTTTGACAAAATCCTTGATAGTAAATAACTACAAGATTTTGTAAAACGGTTAATGATTATTTTAAATTCTTGTCGGTTCATAAATGTCAAGAATTACATTTCTTGACCCTTTTTGAGAATAGTCAAGAAATTTTGTCAAAGAAATTCTTTTTTCTCATAGTGTACCCAAAAATGATACATACATGAGATTCTTTTTCATCACCCACCTATTTATACACAATTTATGGTTCAAAAATTATATTACTCAACGGTCATAAGTTGCCATTATACCTTTAGTCCGCTTGGGAGTTTCATAACAGCGGTTAAGAGGGTAACTATTATAGTAGTTTTGAGGATAAATCGCCTTAGCGGTTTTGAGGGATTTTTAGTATAGGTTTTTAAAACACCCGACCTGTTTAGGAGTTTATTTTCCGCGGTTCTGAGAGTTTTTTTAAATGATAAATTTACATATATACCCATAAAAATACTACAACTTCACTAGTACTTGAGAGTTTGGTTTTCAATTACAAGGTAAGATTTTTTTTTATTTGTTTTCTACTTATTAATATTTTATAACTTCAAATGTGATAAAGTCTCCTTATCCTTTTTCCACCATTTTTTGCAGCACCGAATGATTGAGAATTATAGCTCCTCTTCTCCAAGAAAGCATCTAGAAATGAGATTTTAATAAATTTTTTTATATGATTGCTTAAAATTATTTTATAAAATTACTTTATATTAATATGTTTGAATATGCGCATAATATGGTTAAATTTTTTTTTTTTTTTTTTTTTTTTGGATATAATTGGGATAGTTTTGTAGTAATAGGGTATTTATGAAATTAAATTTTAAAACCAATCAAAACACCCCGAATTGGGCTGTTTTATAAATCCCTAAAAATATATTATTAGTTTATAGGGTTGTTGAGGGCCAGTCAAAACCAGTGTATAAAAAATCTGGCAAGTAATGGTTTTAGAACACTTCAAAACCAATCTAATTAAAAACCTCTCAAAATCACTGAAAAAAAAAAAAAACTCTCGAGCACACCCTTAAGCTTAAGCTAGTAGTTAGGGATTAGACCTATTCACATGAAACTTGGATTATATTTGTTGTCCAATTAAAAAGGTGAGGATTTGAACTTTTGGCCTTTGGCTCAACATTAATATTTGGATTGATAAGCTGCCTGATGGGGTGATATTTGCTTTGATGCAATAGCAAATTTACGGTCTACAGTTTTGACAAGCTTAGATTTCAAAAGGAGAATTGGTAAGTAGAGCAATATATATAAACTGAGACTCTTGATTATTCCGTAGATACAAAACTCCCATACATTTTTATTTATTTCGCAGTCATAGAGACCGCTACTAGTACTACTGCTAATATATGACACATGAGAACTAAATTATTTTATTCATTATATATCTACAAACTTAGTTTTGCAAACGTCCTTTCTTCGATCATCCTCACGCTTATTACTCTTTGGCAGTAATGTCGATTTCCCTGATGACGAGTCTGGTCTTCTCCTGAGCATCCGGTGAAGACAAAGAGATCTTCATATCACCAGACATACCAGAACTGGTATTGTGGAATTCTCCAATTGTGAGTTGTATCCAAACATTGGTTTCTAGATCACTTAGATTTTCTGTGGTTTGTTCAGTTTCTCCATTTGGGAGTTGAAATTTCAGGGTGATGGGTTTATCCCATCCCTTGGCTCTGTCCTTCATCATTATAAGGAAAGAAACTTCATAGGTTTTGTCTGGAGATAGTTTACGTGTCTTGAAATTCGTTTTTACCTCGATGCTCTTTCCACTTATTAGTTCATTCACTTCCACGCCCTTCATTTTGCACCTTTTCCAATCTCCCCCATGGTACGTGAGACCCTTTGAAAAAAGCCTAAAGTCGATGGCATCGGAGTCCTCGTTATGCTTACACAGCTGCAATAATAATATGTAAAATATTAGAAAAATAAGAAAAAATTACACGGGACAGTCTTACCAAATCACCTGGTTGATGTGACCAGATCGTCCAATGATATAATGGCAGATATTGCTATGTATATACTAACTTTTCTCATTCATCAATAACTACCCTCTACCATTCATCAATAACCACCACTAAGATGGTTGACTATTGGACTGTCTTACCACGTCACCCGGATGACATGGTCTTGAAAATGTTTCTCAAAATATCAAGTACTTACCTTGAAGTTAAAACTTAGTTATGTATTACTAAACTGTGAGAAGAGTAACCACGAAAATAATATGATACAAATACAGTTTGTAAGATAGGGCCTTTACCTGTGTGTTCTGATTCAAGAGAACTCCATTCTGGAGCTGTTTAAACACCTTCTGTGGAGAGGAGGTGTCAATTTCTGAGTCTGCATCTTTAACAATGTCATGTAAGTTGTGTGGAAGTTGAGCCATCTCGTGACTTCTTGTACTATATAATCTTAATTTCCTTAACTCTTTGATGATCCTTCTCAAGCAGTCCTGTATTTATAGCATGCATCAGAGAATATTTAAACTTATTCCTTCAACGGAATGAAAAGATGTTCTTTATCATGATAATTAAGCATCTTGAATCACTTTACCCCCAAGGATAAATCAGATTCTCAATCCACCAGAGAGGCCGTATACTATACGCAGTTAACGTGACGGCTTTTACTGTAAAATGATACAACAATACAAGTAAATGATATTTATCCTCTAGGTGTACGTGTGCATGCAGTACCAATATCTCATTCATCACATCTTGTCAAAGATTATATATTATATTGCGAAAAAGAAACTCCAACTATTATTTTCTGTCTCAATCATCAGCTTCAGACAGGTTCCATAGTTAAGATATGTTAATGCCGAAAGTTGCGCCAAATTGAAAATCGCGATCTTGTCCGTTTATCCCTTCTCTGGTCTTAAGTAGTCACCACTGGTTTCAAGAAAACTAGAATAATCATTTTACTGCCTCTAGAAATCAAAGCCCTGTATTAAATTAAGAATCTGATCAAATTAGGAATGATATTTTTCCAAGGATTCTTTATTTATATGATCTATGTATTTCTTCTTACGTTGTATACCAAATTCGGGCACTACAAGATATTTATTTATGATTCTAATCCACTATGTATTACCACCTTTCCAGATGTACTTCATAATGTAATTGGATGGCATATATATTTGAGACATAGAACATATCCGTCTCCAATCTTTCCAGGTGTTTTGAAGAGTGCTATCCATTGACAATTTGGCTTTTAACTTTTAATTTCAAGCGTCCATCTACCCCAGATTCTTTTCATTTTTCTTATTCGAACTTTTTTTGTTTTTTTTTTTGGTTTTTGAGACGGAGTTAAGCATTTGTAGCTGGATTTGTCGGATGTGAGTGTGATTCATTTGGACTATGCATATATATTATATGATGTTTCATGTAGCTTGTAACTTTATCTAAAGTTGATTAATTAAATTGCAGAACAGTAAGCGATGGCTCAACATTATATTTGAACTTGAATTTTTTTTCCTTTTTCATTATTCTGATTGTGGGGATTCTAGTTTTAGACATTTAATCCTAGTACTATGTTAAATTATTATTCCACTTAAAAGCTTGTGGTAATAGATGAGGGGCTTACTATTATATTAGTCCAATAATATTGAATAGAGTGAGTTGTTGATTTTCCTCATCCTAGTTTTTCGATTGAATAACATTCTTTTGATGGCAAGTCCCTATATGGAGCTTCCGTATGACACTATAGAATATTCTATAGTCCTTAACATTTATGGTATTATATGGGTATCACATCATGCATCCGTACCATCAACCAATACATTCTTGTCATATAAGTTTTTAAAAGAAATGCTATAATATAATGGTGATACCACAAGCCACTTAAAAGTTGACATGTGTCAGTCTCATTAAAGATTAATTGACTAATTTCTCTGATTTCCACGAAAGCTTGCTAACTCAAATATACTATAACCCTGAAAATTTAAAGTAATTTAAAGCAAAATTGAAACAAAGTTATTATTGTTATATACCTAACAAATCTAAGTAATTGAACAGTTGAAACAGAGGACTTGCTGTTTCTGTTCTTTTATTGTGCAAATATTTTTTGGTCCAGTGGTGGTGGTTGCAGAAATTATGGTAGAACATTTACCATGGATTTGAGTAGGAAGGATATGTGATACATAAAGTCCACCAAAAACTCTTAACTAATACAATGGTTTATAAATTTTTCATTACTTTATAAACACAAAAATAAAAAAATAAATAACAACTGTTGAGTAAAACATTTCTTTACACTCACGGTATGAGAATTAATATAATATAATTTCAAAATTTTAACTTTTGGGTAATTTTGGTTTAATTGAAGAATTGTATATTTTCAATTCATTGATATTTCAGTAAGAGTTACATTCTCTATATAGGGAGCATACAATCTACGAAATCTCTTAATTATGTTAATTACAATATACAGACATAATAAGAAGATTACAGGATATCAAAAACATTATGAGTATCCTAAAACTGACAAAATAAAAAGATCCTAAAATATTGCCAAAATCTCAACACTCCCCCTCAAATTGGTGCGTAGATGTCACACATGCCCAACCTATCTAAAACTTGTGAGAAAATATGTTTGGAAACAGCCTTGGTAAGAATATAGGCTAATTGACCCTCTGATCGAATCTTAGGCAATTCAATAATCTTTTCATCCAGTTTTTCTTTGATGAAAAATCTATCTACTTCAACATGCTTCATACGATCATGTTGAATGAGCAATGTCACATGCTACTTTATTGTCACAATATAATTGGATTGATTGATTAGATTGATAGCCCAAATCTTGTAGCAGAAATCTTAGCCATAAAGTTTCACAAATCCCAAGTGTCATTCCCCTAAATTCTGCTTCAGCGCTTGAGCGTGCCACAACATTATGTTTTTTACTTTTCCAAGTGACTAGATTACCACCTACAAAAGTGAAATAACTAGAAGTAGATCGTCTGTCATCCACTACTCTAGCCTAATCAACATCAGTATATGCATTCATATTTTGGTACTCCTCATTTTTAGTAAACAAGATTCCTTTTCCACGAGCGTGTTTTAAAAATCTCAAGATGTGCATAACTGCATTCTTATGTTGTTCTCTAAGATTATGCATGAATTGACTGACTATACTCAATGCATAAGCAAGATTTGGCCTAGTATGTGATAAGTACATCAATCTTCCCACAAATCTCTTGTATCTCCCTTTCTCAACTAGTAATTGACCAGTCTCAACTCCTAATTTCAAACCTTCTTTGATTGGTGTATCAGTTGCTTGAAACGCTGACATACCAGTTTCCTGCAGCACATCCAAAGCATACTTTCTTTGTGATAGAAATATACCTTTGTTAGATCAAGACACTTCGATTCCAAGCAAATATTTCAAAGAACCTAAGTCTTTTATCTTGAATTCTTTTGACAAGTACTTTTGCAGAGCCTTCCTTTCTTCTAGATCATTTATTGTAACCACCATATCATCCACATATACAATAAATACAGTGATCTTTCCTTGCTATTTTTTTAAGGAACAGTGTTTGATTTGAATTGCTCTAATGGTAGCCAAAAGATGTCATAGCTTTTGTAAACCTCCCAAACCATGCCCCCGAAGATTGTTTCAATCCATATAGAGATTTCTTTAACTTACATGCCTTTTGGTTGTGCTTTTTAGGTGTATTTCTAGTGAATGATCCACATAGATCTCTTCTATAAGTTATTTTGTCAACTTATGATTCTAGTGTTGTAACACTAGTCATGATATGATCACTTCACTTTGAATATTGCACAATCACTTTGTTTAATTTCCAGTATGATGAGCTTATGTTAAAAGTGATCACCTTCTATTATGTTGTTTATCTACTACATCAGGTGAGCACCTTTTAGTTAGAGTGATCACAATGTATCTGGCAGATGTATTTGGGTAACACGTGTTATGCTTCTAGAATGCATGAGCTGTTATATTCTCTTTTGAGATATTTATATGGTTCATAACACTTGTCAAATCCATATTCAATGTGCTAGAAAGCTTTATTCTCTTTGATAGGTGGCATCTTGATATTGGAATAAACTTTTATAAAGGTGAATTCAATAAAGTTATTCCTTGCCACATGTCCCCTTGCATTGGAGCTCAAGCTTTCTATATATTCGTCTTTTCCAATGCAATTCTTTTCAAGCCTGATTATTCCTCTGATATTACTCTAAAAATTCCTTGAGGTTTCTTTTGTTATGAATTAGGTTTCATATGCCTTAGGCTTACAAATACCTTGGTTACACTTTGTTTATTTGTTCATGGCTAGAATTTGGGTTTCCATTAGTAATGCTTGATGGGATTTCAAGCTTTTGGAGCTGAAGTGCGTCTTCGGTGTTGATCCTTGAGAGGAGCTCAAGGCTAACCAGGTGGTCTTGTGAACGTGGAGCTTATTGTGGTAGTTCGAAGTTCGATAAAAAGATGGAGTTTGAAGCATTGCAACACAGGGAGTGTTCTTGTAACTGATGCTTAACTTTGGCTTTGTAATTGAACTATAAATGTTTAACATAGTGGATTGGCTTCATCTGGATGAGGTCCCATGGATGTAGGCATGTTGCCGAACTATGTAAAAACCCCTGGTGTTCTTTATTTTGTTTTATTGTTGGTTGTTTTGCAATGATGAAGAATGGACACTAAAATCAACTTGGCAACCCATTCTGCTTAGGTTTAATTCACTTGGTAAAGGAATTAAATTTTTCATCTTCTAACAATTCTCCATGTAGGAAAGTTTCACATCGAATTGTTGTAGGGGCCAATCTAGGTTTGTAGCTAAAGATAATAATACACACAGTGTGTTGATTTTAGCTATGGGTGCAAATGTCTTTGTACAGTCAATCCCATGGGTTTAGGTGTACCCTTTTGCTACTAGTCTAGCTTTGAATCTCTCAGTTGTACCATCAACTTTATACTTCATAGTGTAGAACCATCAACATCCAACAGTCTTCTTTCTTGGTGGGCAATCAACAAGCTCCCAAGTTCATTCTTCTATAACGATCTCATCTCTTCGTTCATAGCAACTTTCTATTTTGGATCAAATAAGGCTTTGATGAGAATGCAAAATGTCATATTCCCCCTCCCCCCTTAATGTCTAGTCTTTTATACTTATTTGGTGCCTAAATGTACTCATTATTATTTTATTTTGATTTAGGATGCAAATGGAGGCATTAAATGTAAAACGAAACTAATTGGGCGATTTTAGATAGTTTCAACATCGCTTTGTAATATAGACATAACTCTCTCATCCAAGCTCCGATTAAGATAATTCAAAATGCTATGAAACCTTGAGAAAGAGATATACAACTTTCATGTTTCAAGTTTTGAGAGATACCCACTACATCAAGGTCGGAATCGGGCTTGAATTTGATG